TGATGATGATGATGATGATGATGATGATGATGATGATGATTGATGCTGATGATGATGATGATGATGATGATGATGATGATGATGATGATGATGATGATGATGATGATGATGATGATGATGATGATGATGCTGAGGATGAGGATGAGGATGAGGATGAGGATGAGGATGGTGATGAGGAGGAGGAGGAGGATGAGGAGGATGAGGACGAGAACGAGGAGGAAGATGAGCCCCTCCGCACCCAAGGGTCTAAGAGAACCAAGAGAAGCCTCGGCTTCGGCGGCGGTCAGCGGAGAGGAAAGACAGGGCGGCTCCGCAAGCGGAAGTAAAAAGCAACCCTCAAAGAGGTCAACGCCGGGGTATCCAGGGCTGCCCAGGGCTTCGGGAGTCGACGTCCAGGAGGTCCATGGGGACCGAAGGACCGAGGATCAGGAGGGTCCGGTTTGGGAGAGAGGATCCCCACCCCCCGACTCTGCGAATCTACAGGAAAGTTTTCGGTCATTGATGAAACAGTGAGCGTGCTTTCCCCGTCCATGTTCTGAAGCATTGGCCCAGACAGCAAGTGCGCTTCATCTCCGCGTCTCCTCGTCCTCTGCGCCCTGCGCTTCCACGTCCTCCCCCTCCCTCTCCGCCTCCGCATCCTCGCTCATTCTCCCCTCATATTGCTTCCTCCCTCCTCTCCCCAGGCTCAGCAAGGCATGGGTGTGCGAGCCCGAGATGTCTGGCTGCTGCTCCCTGGATGGGGCCTGTGCTCGGGGGGAGGCTGCAGCACCGCTCAACGGTGTGCATCGTTAGCGCTTATCGTTTCCATCGTCGTCGGCGTCGTCGTCGTCGTCGTCGTCGTGGTCGTGGTGCGTGTTGCTCTGCTCGGGACTTGTTTCCCTTCCACAGTGACCACCACCACCACCACCACCACCACCACCACCACCACCACCACCACCACCACCACCACCACCACCACCACCCCCCACCACCACCCACCACCACCACCACCACCACCACCACCACCACCACCACCACCACCACCACCACCACCACCACACCACCACCACCCACCCCACCACCACCACCACCACCACCCACCACCACCACCACCACCACCACCCACCACCACCACCACCACCACACACCACCACCACCACCACACCACCACCACCACCACCACCACCCCCACCCCCACACACCTCACCACCACCACCACCACCACCACCACACCAACCACCACCACACACCACACCACCCCCCCACCCCACCACACCACCACCACCACCACCACACCACAACACCACCCCCACCACCACCACCACCACCACCACCACCACCACCACCACACCACCACCACCAACCACCACCACCACCACCACCACCACCACCACCACCACCACCACCACCACCACCACCACCACCACCCTTCTCTGCCCCCTCCGCAGCCATTTTGGCGCAAGTTATCTCCAGCTCCAGGATGCTGAACGCCCGGCATATCAGTGCTGGCATGGCAGCCGACAGCAAGCCCGCTGCCACCGTGCCGATGCCGCTCACGCCGACGAGGGGACGGGCACACATCCAGGGCTGTGAGGAGCGACCGCCGCCGGCGCCAGCGGATCGCTCGCGGTCTGGGTCGCCGCGGGGCGCGGCCGAGCCCTGGAGGCCGTCCGCTGGGCTGGAGGCTCAGCATCGTCTGACCTACTGTGGAGACCCATACCAAACCAAGAAACATCCTGCTTGCCTCCAGGGTGCCCTGGGTTTCTTGGGTTTCTTGGATTTCGAAAGGTTTTGCTGTGGAAGGCGTGACGTTCCCACACCAAAAGTCTATGGACGTCCTTGGGTCTCAGGGTTGGGTTTCTTGTGGAAGGCTTCTTGTGGTCGGGCCCCTATTGTATCCCCATTACCCCTTGGCCATGGCATCTCAGGCCCCACCAGCTCACCCTCCGAGGTGGGAATAGGCCCCGCGAGACCCGAAGGAACAGACATCATCCCCGCCTGGGTGGGTCAGGGCCAGTGGGGCCAAGGCCGCGCCAACGGAGACACGGATCGGTGAAACGATGCTCAGAGGCGGACTGCGGCCTCCACCTGGAGCTCCTGGGCCAGCTGCTGCAGCGCCGCGGCAGCTGCGCGGGGGACGCCTGCGCGAGGCCCTGCTTCGAGCGCTGGGACGCGGACCAGGCGCTGCGGCTGGAGCTCCGGCGGGGCAACGCGGCTCTCTCGCAGGTGCTGCTGCGCAGCGGCGGCACCAGGGAGGAGCTCGGCTCGAGGTCGCTGGGCGGCGCGTGGGTGGGCGCGGCGCCCTCGCTGAGCATCTCCCGCGAGCAGTCGTCGAAGGGAGGCAGGTCGGCCGAGAATTCCGACGACCAGATCGACAAGATCCTGTCTACGGCCTGCAGCGCGGACGGGTACCTGAGCGTAGGCCACGACAGCAGCCACGCCAGCTTCATCGGCCACAACAGCTGGGACAGGGACGAGCGCGTTATCGACCAGCTCCGCAAGCCTTCTGCGTCGCAGCTCTGCAAGCAGAAGCCCAGAATGTCAGATGATCACACGAAGGTGGGAAAGCCGCCGAGGGCGTTCTACTCGCTGCGATGGCTGATGAGCAAGCCGCAGTATGAGCTGGCCTGGGCGCTGCTCATTATCTGCAACCTGATCGTGATGATCCTGGAAGAGGAGTACAGGGGCATGCAGCGCGGCTACGAGCTTGGGGGGATATACGCCAACTACGGCTCCAAGGAGTATACTGACAAGTGGTGGCCTGGAGCCGACGGTGCGTTCTACACCGCGGAGTGCCTTTTCGCAGGGGTCTTCACTCTGGAGCTGGTCATTACGTTCGGATATGACCTCACCTGCGCGTATGCCGCCTGGCCTACCCACCGGACGCCCTTTTGGAAGGACCCGCTGGACCTCTTGGACCTGGCTGTCGTTATGTGCTCCGACGTCTCGCTGGCCCTTGGCAAGATGGGCACGGGGGTCAACATGCAGGTGTTCCGCATCCTGCGCCTGGCCCGGCTCCTGCGGCTGGTGCGGCTGATGAGGAAGATCTACCAGTTCGACGCCCTGCACCTCATGACGACGGCCATCAAGGGGAGCCTGGGCGCTCTGATGTTCTCTAGCATGCTCCTGATCACGATCCTGACCTTGTTCGCAATGGTGCTCACGAACGTTCTGCGGGCCGCGTACCTGGGGGAGAACTCCCCCCTGGAGCCCGAGAAGCAGCAGGAGCTCTTCCGGTACTTTGGGACTTACTCCAGGTCGATGCTCTCGATGTTCGAGCTCGCCTTGGCGAATTGGCCCACGGTCACGCGATTCATGGTCGAGGAGCTCCACGAGTGCTTCGGTCCCATCTGCGTCGTGTGGAAGTTGTCGATCGGCTTTGCCGTGGTCGGCGTGATTAACGGCGTGTTCATCAGGGAGACCTTCTCGGTGGCGGAGAGCGACGAGTTCATCATGATAAGGAGCAGGATGCGGCAGGTTCTCCAGCACAAGGACCGCATGAGACGCCTGTTCCAGCTCGCGGACAGGGACAAGGACGGGGTGCTTGGCCACGAGGAGTTCCGCCGCGTCTTCGAGAAGCCCGCGATCAAGGCCTGGCTGGAGGCCATGGACCTGCGCTGCGACGACGCGGACACGCTGTTCGCACTCATCGCGGGCTCGATGGACGGCGTGATCAGCGAGGAGGAGCTGATCAGGGGCATCGCCCAGCTCAAGGGACCGGCCAGGAACGTCGACCTGCTGACCCTCGTGCGTGGCCTCGAGGCCAAGAAGACTCCCAGCTGAGCCGCTCGAGATCGGCTGGCCAGCGCTGCCGCCGCCCGGAGCAGGAGCAGCCGTTCCCTCTTTTCCGCGTGTGCGTATGGGGCGCCGGCACCACAGGCTGGGCACACGCCTCGTGTTCTCGCACGCGCTCGGGTGACTTGCTAGATTTTTGCGACTCTGCCTTGCACGTCTCTGTCTTGCACTGCTGATCTGGTCCTGGAACCTTGGACTGCGCAACGTTTTCGCTGACGCTTCATTCGTTTGCATGCTCCCTTGACTTGCTCCCTTGACTTGTTTCGGGCACTGCCTGGGGCTCTGGCTCCGTGCAGGCGGAGCCGGGCTCAGCCCGTTGTCAAAGCATTCGATTTCTGCATCTGCATTGCTTCAGAGTCCTCCTCATCATCCTCCTCCTCCTCCTCTCCTTACCGCCTGCCTCCTCCTCAGCTTCTCTTGCTCCTTCCAGTCCCCCTCAAAGTAGGTCAACATGCCCAGGCACCGTGCCAAGAGCTGGCGCACGACCTCTCGCGCTGTTGCGCGCCGGGCCAGAACAGATGCTGCGCCCGCGCCCGCAGTGACGCTCTCTTTCTCTCTTTGGCGTTTTGTGCTGATAGGCGGCATTCTGCCGCTGCTTGGATCCAAGTGGCCGCCGACCAAACAGTTTTGAAGAACAATAAACGCGTCATACACATAAACTTTTGGCGCTCCGCGCGGACTTCCTTGGATCCGCGCTGGGGCCCCCCGACAGCGCCTCTGGCGCCGCCCATGGCGCACTCCGCGCGCCAGGGACGGGGGGGTCCAGCGCAGGTCCAAGAAATCCGCGCGGAGCGCCAGAAGTTTATGTTTACGGCGTTTTTTCTTCTTCTGCAGTTGGTGGGGGCATGTGCCGGTTCTTCGAGGAATGGCGAACTGCATGGACATTCGCTTACCTTCGGACCTCCAGCAGTTTCTGCTCATGCCGCTTTTTCTTCCTCTCGTGAGGCTCCTTGGCACAAGCACTGCGCCCGAAGTCGTGCACACGCCGCCCCAACAGAGGTGCACAGGACGTGCTGCGCCTCAGACGCGTGGTCCTGGTGTTGATGATTTTGGCACGGCGGGCAGACGATGGCGTCCTAGTCTCTGCGCATTATGACACCACTCGCAGCACAGCACGACACGTTCTTGCATTTTGAAACCAGGCACGGCGCGGCACGGCCTGACAAGATGCTCGCATTCTGAACACCAGACACGGCACGCCACGGCAATTTTCTCGCATTCTGGAAGCCGAGCGCCGCACGGCACGGCAACATTTTCGCATTTCCAAAACAGGGCACGGCACGGCACGGCACAGCATGGCATCATCTCCGCATTCAGAAAGCCAGGCTTTTCACGGCACCGCACGATTCTTTCCGCTGTGACAACAGAGGACGCCACGGTGCGGCATTCTCTTGCATTCTGAAAGCCTTGCACGATACGGCACGGCACGGTATCATCTTCACATTCTGAAAACTAAGCACGGCACGGCATGACACGGCAATTGGCTTCGTCGGCAATCGGCTTCGTTCGCATCACGACACTGTTTGGCGCTGTGAAGCATTGGTGTGACACGGCGTGGCAGCTTTCGCATCGTAAAGCTTCGGCACGTCACGGCAGGTTTTGTTTTTGTTTTTGTTGTTGTCGTTGTCGTTGTCGTTGTCGTCGTCGTCGTTGTTGTTATTATTGTAATTGTTGTTGTTGTTGTTGTTGTTGTTGTTGTTGTTGTTGTTGTAGTTGTTGTTGTTGTTGTTGTTGTTGTTGCTGTTGTTGTTGTTGCTGTTGTTGCTGCTGCTGCTGTTGTTGCTGCTGCTGCTGCTGTTGTTGTTGTTGTTGTTGTTGTTGTTGTTGTTGTTGTTTTTTGTTTTACTCTTTGCTCTTGTTCTGGACCTCTGGTACGGCGGCACGGCACGGCACGGCCCCTTTCTCGCTCGACACGGCACGGGTGCAGCATCGCCCTGGAGCCCGGCGCGGCACGGCAGCGCCATCTCCTCGCCTTCTGAGCCATGACACAAACATAAAATTCTTTACGCTTCGCGTATCCCCACCCGCGAAACCCCCTCTCCAGGTCCAGGGGGAGGGGGTAGGGGGAGGGGTAAACCCCTCCCCGAAGGGGAAGAAGGGGGGTTGAGAACAGAGAGAGCTCCCTAAACCACTCACGCCCAAAGGGCTGGTGGGATTTCGGAGCCTCGCTCCGACTTCTCGGATCGGCGCTGGAGCCCCCCCGGCGGTGCCTCCAGCGGCGCCCTTGGGCGCGCTCCGCGCGCCACGGGCCGCGGGGGCCTCAAGAGTTTTTTTTATGTTTCTGTCGTGGTTTGTTCCCCCTGCCGCAGCCCAGGCACGCGCGCGCCACGGCAGAGCACGGCAGATTTTTTTTCCACGCTTCGGCAGCCAGGGCACGACGGCACGACGGCACCACGGCAAGGCGCGCCACCAGAATAGTTGGCCTTCCCATGGCAACCAGCCACGGCACATGGCGCGGCAGAATAGCTCTGCAGTGTTTGGGATCATGGAAATTAGATCGGTTATCGTGATTCTTTTTTTTGCTTGTATTTTTGTTGAGGTACGTATGTTTATACGTATGTATTTATGTCTGTATGCTGGTATGTGTGTATGTCTGTATGTCTGCCTGTCTGCTTGTCTGTCTGTTTGTCTGTCTGCCTGTAGGTCTGTATGTATGTATGTTTGTATGCATGTTTGTACGTATGTATGTATGTACGTATGCATGTATGTATGTATGCATGTATGTACGTATGTATGTGTGTGTACGTATGTATGTATGAATGAACGCATGAATGCATGAATGCATAATTGCTCGGCAGTGTTTGGGATTATGGAAACTAGATTGGTTATTGTTATTCATTTTTCTCTTGCATTTTTGTTGAGGTATGTATATATACATGTATGTATATGTATATGTGTATGTATGTATGTATGTATGTATGTATGTATGTATGTATGTATGTATGTATTCATGCATGTATGTATGTCTGTATGCGGCTATGTGTGTATGTCGGTATGCCTGCCTGTCTGCCTGTCTGTCTGTTTGTCTGTCTGCTTGTATGTATGTATGCGTGTATGTATGTATGTATGTATGCTTGTATATATGTATTTGTGTATGTATGTATGTGTGTGTGTGTACGTATGTATGTATGTATGCGTGTGTATGTATGTACGTGTGTATGATGTACGAGTGGTCGCATGACTGCATGTATTTGTATGTATCTGTATATGTACATGTATATGTATATGCATACGAATATTTACATGTGTATATATATATATATGTGTAGATGTATGTGTAATTGTATATGTATATGTATATGTATTGTATATGTATATGCACATGTATATGTATACATGCATGTATTCATGTATGCATGCATGTATGTATGTATTTATGTGTGTGCCTGTGTGTGTATGCAGGTGTGTGTGTATGTATTTATGTATATATGTATGTATGCATGCATGCATGCATGCATGTATGTCTGTATATATGTCTGTCTGTCTGTCTGTCTGTCTGTATGTATGTATGTATGTATGTATGTATGCATTCTATATGCATATATATATATGTATGTATGTATACATATACATATACATATACATATACAGATACATATACATATACATATACATATACATATACATACATACATACATACATACATACATACATACATTCATACATACATACATACATACATATATATATATATATATATATGTATGTATGTATGTAGATGGTTATGTATTATATATATATATATATATATATATATATATAATAAATATATGAGTAGGCCGGGAGGGGAGCCAAAATCGGTGCCGTCATGCCCCATGGCCGCCCCCCCGAACTTTTGGGGGGTCACAGACCCCCCGGGCTGTCCCGGGCCGCTCCCAAGTTGCCCACGACAGGCCACGCGGGCCGTACAGATGGTCAAGAAAGCCTGAAGAGGCCCCGAAGACGCCCAAGAGCGCCCCAAGAGGGCCCGTCAGGGCCCCAAGAAGGCCTTCAAGAGGCAAACATCGGCCCATTTCCTTAGTAAAACGTTCATTTTCAGCATACTCGCTGGCTTCGTCTTCACAGTGCCCCAGACGCCCCCGCGGAGCCCCAACACAGCCCAAGAGAGACCCAAGAGGGCCCAAGATGGCCCAAAAGGGTCGGCCTGTGGGGCTCAGGGAACCCCCCAAGACAGCCCAAAGGGCCACGAAGCTGGCCCAGGAGGCCCCCAAGACGGCCTCAGGGAGACCCAAGAGGGCCCCGTTCGAAATCATGTTCCCGGAAGCCTCTCATGGAACATGATTTCCGGGTTCCCAGGGCCCCCTAGAGGGCCCCACTCAGCGAGGCCCAAGAGGGCCCGAGATGGCTTGAAGATGGCCGAAGAGGGCCCCAAGAGGGCCTTCAAGAGGCAAACAGCAGCCCGTCCCCGCAGTTAAACGTACATATTCAGCATATTCCCTTGCTTCGTCTTCGCAGTGCCCCAGACGCCCCCGAGGAGCCCCAAGACAGCCCAAGAGAGACCCAAGAGGGCCCGAGACGGACCAAAAGGGTGGTCCTGTGGGGCTGACGGAACCCCCCAAGACGGCCCAAGAGGCCCCGAAGCTGGCCCAGGAGGCCCCCAAGACGGCCTCACTAGGCCCAAGAGGGCCCCGTTCGAAATCATGTTCCCGGAAGCCTCTCAGGGAACATGATTTCCGGGTTCCCAGGACGCCCAAAGACAGCCCCCAGAGGCCCCGGACACGCCGAAGATGGCCTCAGCACGGCCGACGACGCCGCCAAAACGCCCCAAGAGCGCCTCCAGAGGCCCCGCCAAAGGAGGGCCCAGAAGCCAAAAATTATAAATTTTCCAATGGTTTTTGAACCATTCTTGCGCTCTCCCATGTTCGGCCTCCCCACGGTCCTGGACCGTGTCAGAGGCCCTTCAGATCGCTCCAAGACGGCCGAAGAGGCTCCCAAGAAAGCCCAGAGACGGCCCAGGAGGCTCCCCAGATAAGTCAAGTGGGCCTCG